CGACAAAGCAAAGGGAGACCGGAATGGCCATTTCTGGCTTGTAAGCCATCATCAGCCAGTCAAACCCAATCTCAAGAGTTGGAACTCGCGAGATTCTAACCCGGGACCTTTGGTCATTTAGTTTAATACTCTACCTCGGATGTGTGTGATCCATTTCATCATATCGTCGTAGTCGAAATGTGAGCTCCTAAGCGGAGCGGAACATATTTGTTCCTCTGCCAGATCAGCGAAGCCCATATATTCATCATATTTCCGATCTTAACCGACAAAGCAACGAGCCCGTGGTGCCGAGGTAGAGTATTTAGCTCAGTGACTGAAGATCTCGCGTTTGAATGTCGAGGGTTCCAACCCTTGACTGGCTGATGGCGGCTTACAAGCCAAAAATGACTATTCCGGTCTTCCTATGTTTTGTCGGATCCATTTCGTAATAAAGTATTCCTATCCTGTTGGCCTCCCCTGATTTCTCTTCTCCTAAGGAACCGAGCCTGGAGATCGCAGCTGCCAGGGTTTACTTTATTAATGTTAACTCCTCGACAGGCTTTTGACTTCATTAGTGATCATGACAACTTTTGCGGATATGGTGTTTTTATGTTTCAGTGTCGAAAGGTTCAAGGAAAACAAAAAGCATTCCGATTTTAAACTAAACTTTTCAGTAGAAAATTCTTATAAATAGACTCCTATATCTCAATTTTTTAGTATATCGGTCCTTTTTCGACGTACTCTGTCTACACTCATACCCAATTCCATTAAGCTAAATATTTTGTTTAGTAGCATTGTCTTTAACACAGGTACCAAAGCAGATTTGTCATATTGTGGGTAAGGGGTACAGTATATCTCTTCGTTTGCGAAGATTGATTTGAGTTCTGAATAATTTACTTTGAATACGTTTATATATTTAAGGGCTCAACTGTCAAAAGTTTATTTGCGTGCTATCTTGCATTGACCAACTCAGATGGGAAGCTCGCTAAGGCGCAGTCACGCCAATCTGAATAATTTACTCTAATGGCTAAATCATATGGCGTACAGACCAGGCAATACATCTGAATAAAAATGAAAAGTTATGAGTTATTTTGCTTTTCGTTGGGAGAGATTTAATGAATCGTTTTCTAAATATTGATTTTTTTGGCTATTTTACTAAGCCGTACATTCATATCGGCGCAGTTCCACTTTATTCCTATCAGTAAGTTTGGGAGTTCCATGCTTGTCACTTGTGCATTATTTGGCCACAGGTGCACTGGGTCCTTCAGTTTGGATGCAGTCTTCTTTACTGAATTCAATGAGTGAATATAACATGCAGTGCATTAATTACAACTTTACCTCCTTCCAACAACTTTACCCTATTGTTATAACGGCTGTGTACTAAAACTCAACTTCTTCCAACACGTTTAAAATGTTATCAACCCACAACTGTACCCACCCCAACATTTGACCCTCAAACAAGTAAGAAGGCTTGCTTATTATTAAAGCTTAGCAATCTACTTTTCTTTTAAAATATGTCAATTTCCCGCACTTCGTTTAACAAGTATTTGCATATTCTCATTGAAATATGGGCCATCATCATATGTTTGCTGTGTCAACATAGACGGACCATAAGATGTCCATCTTTGAGGTTGAAAATAATGCATCTGCTGCGAGCAATATCTTGTTACCGAACTTTTGTGCTTCGTCTCTAGCCGTAGGGTTGTCATAGTAACGGCGATGCCATTTGCAACAAACAGTGTTCACAGTTTTGTGGTGTTTTCAGTGGTAAGTTGGTTAGAGGTGAGCAGTTCTTGTTTTATTGATGATAATAATACCATTTGCATTATCACATTTGCATGCGCTTTTAACAAAAAACTCTAAATAGAGTAGGTTTCTTTTTGTTCTATGAATTTAAACTAAAATATGATTTGCCTTTTATGAACTAGTATTTGAATTTGTTATATCTGTTCTCTATAGATCGTGTAGATTCAAGCTTTTTTGTTCTTGTGCAGAAATTGACTCTGTAAAAACGCATTAAAATGAGTTGAAAACCTCTGACACCCGCGAAAGCATAGGCGACTTTCGGCAACTTTCCCTGTTATCAAGAGGTATCAAATTGAAAAGTTTGTGGGAAAGCTAGTTCATAAGGAACCATTTGCATTTGATCAAATTGTCATCCTTTTTATCGATTATATTTGGCGGTGGAGTAAGCAATACGATGGCTGATCAAAAAACGAACCACGTGTTCGAAATTCTGTGTCCTAGAACTCCCTAGAAGAATCCAGGCTGTTTAACCAATCAGCTAACAGGATTACCAGTCCGATCATAAATGAACTGCTTCCTGTTCACACACAGAGGAACAGCGGGCTAATTGACTGACTTTTAATAAGCTTTCAGGGCTTAAAGCACAGCGTGTCATATTCCCAACCTTTGAAAGTTGTCTGTGTCCGCGAAATTGCATGTACCGCACTGCATATTCTCGTGAACTGCAATTCAAAAGAATTTTCCTCACCTTGCAGCAACTCGGCACCGCTTCTGGTTCGACAGTTGCGTTCCAAGTTCAATTTCAGATGATGGTCGTACATTCCCCAGTGCTGCATCAGACAGAATCCTAGTCACTTCAACAGTTTCTTTGAATCTGAAAGCTCACCCATAACCATAAATTACTTTGGATTACTGAGGTAGTGTGCAATTCCGAGAAGATGAACGAAGAAAGAACGATATTTGTACAAATCGACTCTTACTCGTGAATTTTCATGCTGGTTTCACAAAATTCGTCGCCAAGCGAAATGAGAAGTGAGGGTTGGGATAATTGCACTAGACGGTTTGGGGACAGATGTTACATCAAATGGCTGAGGTCCAGGCTGGTCGGGAGTAGCTGCAATAAGTGCTGTAAGCAAGAGGGGTTTAAACTTTTTAGTTGTGGGTCACGTGTCGGGAGGATGCAGAATCAGTGACGTTCTACTTGGCCGAGCACGAATTAGCAATTTTTGTTTCACGGTTGGTGCAAGTTAGGGGACCGGGAACGCTAACCTTCGGAAAGGGCATCCAGACGGACGCGGCGGTTACTTTTTCTGTGCCTGAGTACCAAGCTTTGAGAAATCCTCGCGTCTGTTTTTTGTTGGCCGTGGCGACCACCCCAATTCCCTCCTAATTGAATCGGTGGTCACAAACAATGGCGAGCGCAAACACGAAAGACAATGGATCACATCGCTGGGTGGCCAGCTTATGCTCATTTATGCGAGTCCCGAGTTGTCGATCTGTATGGTTTATGTAGACGCAAGAGCAATTAGGATACGGACATTGGTTTGTTGCTCTTTTGGTACGTGGTCTTTAACCCGAGATAGTGTT